TCCACCTCCCTGGATTCGAGGCCATTAGCCCATGTCGCCGTCTACATTGATAGGACACTCACCCCGCCGCTCAATGCCCAGTAAAGATCTTCGTTGTCAGTAGGCGAAGCGGTCACAAATTCCCCTCCAGGGCTGATGACCTCGTATGACAGTGCTTGATCTGCTCCCATGCCGTATCTCGAACTAAGCACAGAGTGACCTCCTCCTTGTATGTAGCCGCCGGCAAAGCCAACCGTCTAACGGATCGCTGGGATCAGGAACTATCCAATGCAAACCTAGCGGGCAGACGTACTGGGCATTCCCCGCTAACAATAGCAAGGCCACGCTTATCGACTGCCCCGACGAGTTCCTCGCCAGTGACCCCGGCACTGACCTTGACTGCTGCGCCTTCGTACGAACTGGACGTAGAGTCGTAATGATCGATTATTGTAACATCCTTAATGTGATGCACCCAGGGAATTGCTATCCCAGTAGACAAAACGTTTAGACTAGACTCCACAAGACGAAGAAAATTCCCCGCGCAATGGTGGAGGTTTCTACACGCCTTATAGACTGGCGTACGACTTGAACCAAAGAATTCCCGATTCGGAATTATCGTGAGTCGCTGATCCCAAGTTCCTACTCCGCCATCGTGGAAATGGCTGAGTCTGCTGCTGGCACTGCCTTCCCACAACGTGCAAGGGTCACTACTTTTAGCATACTAGTGGCTTAAGTATTGTGAAAATATTCTAAATACTTTCAAGATCCTTTGTACTGAAGTATGGTCCAAGTATGGTCAATGTATGATGAAAGTATTGAAGAAAGTCGCCCAAAAAGGCAATTTCTTCGATACTTTCATCATATTTTGCAAGATAACTTCGGACAAAGGATCTTGAAAGTATTTAGAATATTTTCACAATACTTTCCCACATAGTATAGTATAGGTAGTTAACAAGGGGCGTGGTGGGATCCGCGAACCATTCAAATTCGTACTCGAGACTCCGCCAGATGGGACAGGCAGGCTCAAGACGGCGCGATCGCACCGCGAAGAAGACAGTTGAGGATGACAAGTCGGTTGAGGATACAAAACTGTACCAGCGACTTCAACCGTGCCAGCGATCTCAACCGTACCAGCGACTTCCCAATGAACTTGTAAGAGTCATTATCGAGATGGCTGGAGAGTCGATATATACGCTGCGACGCCTGGCCTTTGTCTGCTATGGCTGGCTTGATTTCTGCCAATCACTCATCCACAAGACCATTACGGTTGACGGAGGGAGAGGGTCATGGGCCATGCCCAAGAAAGAGTTTATACGGATCTACACCCAACACCCGCATCTCTGCGAACATGTCTTGGACGTATCCTTCAAAGTTACCAGGTCCAAAGACACCGACCTGTGTCTGCTTCGCTTCAATAACCTTCGCAGTCTGCATCTATGGTGCTACACCGATGCACTGTCTCCCCCGCTGATAGCTCTTATCCCGCGCCTACTCGCCTCATCCCGGCTAGCGAAATTGTCGCTTGTCGGGTTTACACCTGCGACCATCCTTGATCTGCTTCGTTCCGATGAAGTGATCCGTGCAAACCTCCGCTCTCTCGCTTTAATAGACATATTTCGACCGAAATGGGATCCATCGACGCTACCCGTGAATCCCCACCCGGTGCTCATGACTGGCTTGCACGAGCTCGAAATAGATTCCATTCCCTCGTACGAACTATCCGCCATCGAAACGCCATCGCTTCAATCCCTGTCGGTCCTGTATCGGCCAGGGAAGTACGCCATCGAGAATCTGCTTCCACGTCCATGCCCTTCCACTATAACTCACCTCACCCTCGAAACCACAGTCATCCCATCATGGACGCCCGCTATCGCCTCCACGATGCAAAGTCTAACGCGACTCGAAATGTTGACACTGGACTTGCAGAGTTATACAAATATGGAGTTCACCGACCATTTGCCTTGGCTATGTGAGTGCATTCGTCATCTCAAAGACGTCTGCCAGCTTCAGCGACTTGAGATACGGTTGCAAGACCAACTCGCCTTCCACACGCTATCGCCGCTCGATTTTTCGGCCCTCGATGATGCACTTAGTGAGATGTATCACGCACAATCATTGCGGGAGGTTTGCTTGAAATTCACCGCCATCCTGGGGATCTCGCCCAGACTGCTTCCCAGCACGACGTGGATCCCCCCCCCCATCCAGCCACTCTCGAAGCTCTGACGATAGCCGGGTTCCCTCGTCTTACGGAAGCAGGTGTTCTTCGAGTCTCGGTCACGACCCAAGATGTGCACGGCTGTTTCACATACGGTATTCAACATCCGGATGGGACGGCTGAGTATGTGTTCTATATTGGTTGTCCTGGCTCGAGTAGCTAGACATATGTACATACCTTTGAATACTTGTAGAGCCGCTTCAAATTGGGACTCGGAGTCGTCTTGTTCGATGAAAGAGCAACACCCAAGCTGGATTGTCGGTTCCGGGCCCTTTTCCCATTCAGTGGTACCTTCCCAACGGGGGTTGAACACTGTATCGCGCGCAGCGCGCTAGAGCGCCGACGCATAGGTCCTCGCAGAGGGAAGTGCTTCGAAAGCGCGCCTCGCCGAGTTGAGAGCATCGGACTGTGCGCGTGCCGTCAGATCAACATTTTCCTGATACACGATACGAGATGCACTCGGCCAAGTAGGGCGGGTCATGTATCGGCCTTCTTCACCGCACGCCGATCCCCTCGAAAGATGCTCGACAATTACAGGCACCATTATAAGGGGAACACGCCCCACACATAGTCAGCACGGTAAGCATTATCCACTGACGCTCGCCGCTGTGCGTCATTCTCGCTAAGCCAGATGAACACGATGAGATACGACATGCGCAACAAACAACGTCGACATTGGAGCCACTTGTGGACCAAAATCAATACTCAAGACACCAGCGGAGACCCCGACTAATTTTGCGACCTGGACCGACAAGGGAACTTGGTGTTCGATCCCTGCACCGCTAGAGCGCGAGCCATTCGTTGCTTTTTGGCGTCATCATGATGAGGGAAAGATCTCCAAAAGGACAAAAGAACTCGTTTTGCGCGCTGATCGAACTCCTGTATGATGTCATTCAGAGCTGCATTGCCGTATTTTGCAGCACTCGCGCGAATGCATTGAAGTTAGGCACTCACATCAGCACGCTGTGAGCCAGATGAAGGGGAACAGGTTTGGGATTGTCGAACGAGCGTAGCCAGCGGGATTGCTAGCACAAAGCTTCCACGTCTCGTACATGCAAGTTCTATTTGGCGGGGGCTCTAGCCGTGTGGAGGCAACTTATTGAGTGGATGAAAGATTCCAGATGAATTACTGATTCTCAGGTAATGGTCGATACACTATATTACAGATTATTCGTTGACTTCATTCCTAGCGTATTCAGGCATTGGTGGTAATTTCGGAGCAGGTGAGGGACACCAAGAACGAGCCTCCCGTCTGAATGACAAGTAGAGAGATGAGCACTGTGTGCGGTGGGAAGCGGTCCCGACTCACCGCCAAGTTCAATTGACAGCAAAGCGGCTGGACCGCACATGGCGTGTCAGGAGCGATGCGCTCGCAGGAGTCTACGACCAGATGGGCATTCAACTTGATGCACGATGCTAAGAACCCACCAATAGCTCCCCCGCTTAGGAGGGCCCCCAGAACAGACCCAACTGTGCCGCTGACGCCGGCCAGTAGGTCGTCGGTCTACGGCGCGATGTCATCAGTGTGCTGATTTAGAATGGGTGTTGCGATGAGCCTACCGTTTCAGAGGAGCAACACAGAGTCGAGCCCGCTGAGCACTGACCATTGGCATCGCCACTGCTGCTGCCTCCGTCGCTACCACTGCCGGTGCGGGGGAGGACAGTGCAGTTGGCGAGCACAGCGCAGGCGATCATGGCGACAGATGTGCGAATGGCGAACATGTTTATAGGAATAAGATTAATTGAAGTAAGTGCTTTGGCGGTGTGACTCGATGGAGATGAGAGCTGATGAAATTACAGGGCATCGCGTCCCCCCATTTATACCTTTTTCACGGTAAGACTACTCCTCATACTCTTCATTTTGGCCAAGGGCTCTGTCTACGCAGTGGCTGCCACGTTTGTTCGGGATGTGCGTCATCTGAGGCGCTGTTGCCTATTAGGGGGCTTCCCCCGCCAAGGTATGATGTTGAAACACTCCAGCAACGCCTCTTGTCGATCTCACCGCGGATGCAGCTTTTGGACGATCCTTGAGCTCCAATGTGAACGATCATTGGTGCCAGATGACTCTTGCAATTTATGGCAGGATGGACTTGGCGGGCAAGTAGCCCCAAGAACCATTTTCATGAAGTGCCCCCAGAGGTATTCATCGGAGTCCTGGAAGCACGTCGGCCGCATTGCGATATATACGCACCAAACGGCGCAAGGGATCAGTCAAAGATGCATCCACATGATCGGAATCCCCTTGAGTTCCTGCGCCTTGGAGACAACGAGCTTGCGTTCCTCATCCAAGACTCTTCCGCAGGATTCGTGTTCGCCCAGCTTTTCGGATATGCCACCCGCTTGCTGTCGTCATCATAGGGGAGCCATCCCATTATAGGGGACAAAGAATAGGACCTGCGATTGTGGGGGTAAGTGCTTCATCCTGCGATTCCAGCAAGAAGCGGTGACCAAGGTTTGACGACTGCTCGCACGAGCTGATCGTAATGGTCGGGCTGTATTATGCGATGCACCAAGGCATATTTGAATTGCTGATCGGGAGTAATCATCTAGAATTTCTTCACTACGTGCCCAACGACACTTGTGCGCGAGAATCTACAGCAGATCATTTGTTAAAGGATGTTGGCGGGTAAATTATGCTGTAGATGGACGATAAATTTATACCTTCTATTTGTATGCTGATCGGGGCACTAATATTTCTTCGATCGTGACCGAGACTCGAAGAATGTCTCGTCTCCTATGAGGCCAGGGTAGCCCCTAACCTTGGACCCGACACGTGTTGGACTCATCGCCTGTGCTCGAATTCGTCGTTGGTATCGATTAGTGGTTAAATCACTTCGTTGTGGCCAACGTGGAGCAAGTCCGAAGAGCCGCAGGTTCAATTCCTGCTACTGACACTTTTGACGCGTTTTTGGATGTAGTATGAGCGCCGAGTTGCATGAAATCTGAAAGGCAAGTATGTACCTTGCTCCCGTTCCTGCCGTTCGCGTTGTCTACGCGCATTGTGCCGCCCATAGGCCGCCGATTGTCTACCAATGAGCGCGGTTGTTGGGTCAGTAGTTGGATCAAACTAATAGATCGAGACAAATGTCGAGGAACTGGAACATTTGGACACACTATGCCGCACGCGTGGTGTAGACACGACCATGGCAACCTGATGAGAATTGAAGAAGAAATTCAGCAACGCAGTGAATACTTAGTAGGGCTGACCAACAACTTTATATGTCTTTTTAATATTTTGCAGCGGCATCACGGGTGTTGGCGTCGGAGAGGGGCCCCAGTGACCTACAACTTGCGCCAGGCAGTCACGGTCACAGCGGGCGCTTGGTTCTTCTTTTACGACTATCATTCCCACAAACGATGGCCGTCAAGCTTCATGCTCTAGCTCAGTGCCCAGCGGTTCAAATGTTCAGTTGGACCACTGAGAAGACAATAACACAAAAGCCGAGTGCTATGTGGCGCAGTAGATTACTACTAGATAATTGAAAGAATATATTGTTTGTAGAATATCACTTGCACAGTAGGTCGCTTGCCTTGTGTATCTCCGCCGATTCTCATCAGAAACTCACTCCTATTTAGATCTGCAGGGATTATATTGGGGCTTCGTCTTGTGCCAGCCTTTCGGAGAAAGCGAGGTGAGTCGCTCGAGGCGGCGTATTGGTATAGGGGTGTCATCCCCGAACGGATACTTTCAAGACGTAGGTCCCTCGCGTGTTGGGTCACCAGGATCTTATAAAAGGGATCAAAGTACGGCTGGACCACCCACGTCCTTATCCTACGCCACAATATGCCCAGCTTCGAGTGCTCGGTATGTGACAGGCAGTTCAGATCGTTCGTAGCACTCAGCGACCATTGCCGGTCAACGGCACACGGAGCATGGTGTATGCCGTGCCAAAGATTCTTCGTGAATGATCAGTCATTAAGCCAGGTACGTTAAACCTCGCTGCAGTGGTCGTTCTTCACTGACACATTGTCTGCCTCTGATATAGCACATCAATGCATCACCGAAACACGCGTTTGATTCCGACGATAGCTCAGAAGTCTACAGCTCTGATGATGATGAAACTAGTTCTGAGGAAGAGGATGATGAGGAACCGTATTGTCAAGGATGCAGTCGCTGGTTCGTGAATGTCATGAGCCTTCATGCTCATCTGCGAGACAGCCCGCTCCACAACTGGTGCTTCCAATGTTCTCGAGATTTCTCAACTAACACTGCGTTGAATCAGGTATGAGTCAATGAGTTGCTTCTTTTTCACAGCCTTCCCCTTCCCTTTCACCACATGTACCCTTATCTTAACGTTCCAGCCTTCGATCCACTAACTTCACCTAATTATAGCACACTCAGTCACTTGCACACAAGGATCGGGACTTGCAGTGTCCCTTTTGCCGCGTCATGTTCAAAAGTCCCTCCGGCGTAGCCTTCCACGTTGAGTCTGGGTGCCACAAGATCAACAGACACCAAGTCACTGCTGCCGTCCACGCCCTCGGCATTGTTCCTACCATCTCCGTCAATCGTCGCCTCCAGGGTTCCTCCAATTCCTTCCCGACGACTCTTACGACCTACATAGCCACAGAAGCCTCGTTCAACGGCTCTAAATACGACTGCTATCTCTGCAATCGCAAATTCAGGACCCTCAGCGGTTTGAACGCCCACCTCAATTCGCCGGCGCACGACAAGGACGAATTCAAGTGCCCGAAGTGCAAGAAGGAGTTTAAGTTGATTTCGGGGCTAGTGCAACATATCGAGAGCGGTGTGTGCAAGGTGGCGCAGTTGAAGAAGGTCGAGGCTTACTACGAGGACTTGACGGCGGCCTTTACGAGGGCTCTCAAGCTATAGGCTATGGCTGTAGAAAGGATATCCTCGCGCGTACGCAATGTATAATTAGGTCCTTGAACTGTATATCTATGTACTGGCAACAAACCTTGATGGCATTGTTCTCGTATTCATTCACGGTGTTCAATGGTGTTCGCGGAGTCGGAAAATTGTCATCGTGCGCAAGTTGTCACCGTCCCGTCTACTGAGTGAGTGTAGAACTGTGTGCTTGGGATTGTAGCTCAGCTGCTGTTACACCTACCATATCGGCATTCAACCTCGAGCAAGCCTTTGTCATTCTGTGGCCAATATACTGACGCCGAAATCAAGCCAATGGGAACTATCTACTACTTTGACCAAAATATTTCAGGCTTCGTACTGAATGAATCTGTCCTTTTCTACGAAGCAGAACAATTCAATCTTCCAAGACCAAAACACTGCTGTCTTCACATCGAGGTAATGAGTCGCATGAAGCAATGGGCGCTACGACTCTCGCAGTCTATGTACGCTTGGGGCTGCCCAGCTGGTTACTATACCTGCTGGTTTGCTACCGAGATGGCTTGCTTTGCGGGACGGCGATATGCCAAAATTCCGACTATGACCAGGATGAAGAACACTTGTCTTGGGCTGAGAAATCGGTCATGATAATGGAGTGACGCACGGGTGTGCAAACCATAGCGAAATGGAGGGGATTTCTCATTGTGAGCAGAGCTCCTGCATCGTAGTCACAAAGTTGCAATTGAGGATAATTGTTAATCAAGTGCGTCGACCGAGCGCTGTGTTGGCTCCATATTGTACAATGTATACGTTACAAACATCGAAAGAAAGTCGGGGAATCTTGACGTCTAAGAGCTTGCCCGGACACCTTCAAACTCTCGAGTAAATTCGTCCATAGCCTCCAAGGTCTCCTTCAGATGGCCGTATCCCAGCTTCTCGTTCCTGGCGATCGCTAAGGACTGAGCGGTCTTTGCGGCATTCTTGATCTGTCTTCCGTTCACATTCTTCTTCGCCAATTCACTAATTTCTTCCTCGGTGATATCGTCCTTGGCACCAGCTTTGGCGATGAATGCCTGCCAAACTTGTCTCTTCGATTCGAAGGAAAGCTCGCGGAAGTGCAGCGCGACGTGGATTCGGGACAGGAATGCCTCGTCGAATGCCTTCACGCGATTGGTAGTGAGGAAGAGAATACCCCGGTAGTACTCAACATGACGCAGGCTACCGGACATCATTAATGGCGCGATTCGAGAATAAGATGGTCACTCACAAAACGGCTACCATAGCATTTCTCTCGAGATCATGGAGGGAACGTTGTTCGAGGAACACGTCGGCCTATATGGCGAGTTGAGCAACCGCGTCACCGAGGAATAACAGCGTACTCACCTCATCGATCAGGACGATGGCCTTCCATGCCGTAGCAACGTCGAATATCCTCTCTAGTGCCGCATCCAGGTCAGCCGCCTTCGTGCCCAAGTCGCCGCCTCCAACGATATAAAGAGGGCGTTTAACATGCTCGCTGGTTGCCTCCGCCGAGAATGTTTTCCCTGAGGATGCAAGGATGAGCCCGTCAAATAGTAATTGTGGCACCAAGCGCAAGACGTACCGACACCAGGCGGACCAAAGAGGTTAATCACCAATCCATGCCCCTTCCCCTTGATGAAGTCGTCAAAGCCAAGCTCCCGATGATGTGCTTCGACGAGAGACTGAAGGAGTGTTTTTCTCCCTTGTGGAAGAACCAGATTCGCAAATGCATCGTGTGCCCAGTCAACAGGCGAAACTTTCTGAACATTGAACTCCACTACAATCATGGTCGTCAGCACTACCATGGATCACAAGCACAGTGACAAACTTACGCCACACTTTATCAGAAAGGCTGAAACCGTACACGACAGCGGGAGTCAAGATCAGTTCTTCGTCTGTGAGGTCTTCATCCACATCATTTGTTCGAGTGGTTTGGATGCCTATATGAAGCAAGGCCACTGTATTAGTGTCAGCTGCTGATCTGACGTTGCCACTGACCGTTGTTGGTTGTGGGGACGACGGGTTGGACAGGGTTGCCGTACATATCATATCCATCGTAGTCATTTCTGTGATGGGGCGGCACAGGAACATTGGCCTTCGGGGTTACAGGCGCAGGGAACTGGTAGTTCGCGTTGAGTCGGCGAAAAGTGGCTGAGGGAAATAAATAGGCGTCTCAGAAACAAGTATATTAGCAAGATGGGGAAATATGGACGCACCTCGGTCAACCATGATTCGGCTGTTCACATTATGACGCACGACGCGTTCAGCGCATTTCAGCGCGGCATTCCCATGGTACTCGACATGCTTCGCTCCCCCAGAAGACAACTCTCTCCACTTCTTACCTCGCTCCAAAAGCTGTGTTTTCAAGCCTTCCGGATCGCGATGAAATTTAAGTGGATAGCAGTCGAGGGAAGCGATTTGGATAGTTCCCCTGAAGGCAAGAAGGACGATTGTTGTTTGGACGCGTCCTACCCTGCCTGACGAGACACTGCCATTGCTGTCTGTACCGGAGACATTGGTGGAGCCTGGGGTATTTGAGGCAAGGTTGTGATTAGGATCGACGACGTCGACGCTCTCGCAAGTCAGCGCGTAGCATGACTTTCCTTCAACGGAAGTGCGGGAGACAGAGGAGAGGGTGAAGAGACGAGGCTCGCCCGTGACTGCGCACGTCGCGAAGAATGTGGTACGCGGAACGAGGATCGCGTACAACAGGTCGAAAGTAATCTCAGCGTGCGAGATGAGAGTTTGGATCTTCGCAAGGGTGACGCGATAATCTTGTTGGAAAGTAGAGATCAGGAGAGAGACGGATGAGTGCCGATACTTCTCTTCAGTTGTCAAGGTCTTCTGAGCAGCGAGTTTGTCGCGATATTCGATAAAGTTCGGTAAGAAGGTGATGAATATTTCTGGCTCGAGCTCTAGTGGGTCGGAATTCCAAGAAATTCCTGGCCAGGATATTATTACATCCTTGCAGGCTTGGACGATGTAAGGACTCTTGACGACTACTTTGAATGTAGGAGGTAAGTTTTCCTGTTTCGGAATGGTTCGAACAATCCTAAGGGCGCGCTT